TGATGGAATGTTTGGCAGTCCAAATATTTGTTGATGAACTCCGTGACCATGAGATGCAGAAAACACTCCGTTTAGCCCGTCATAAAACATTGGTCGATGTCTTGTCCGCTATTATCATATGTTGGATGAATTCGGTTGGACGATATGTTGGAGGCATGTGCGAGGCTGAGAAACTATTCCTCTAAATTGCAAAGACATTTCTTCAGCTTCGTAGAGTAAACTAGAAATATAACTAGTACAAAGAGCTCCGAGAGTTATGACTGTGGTTATGGATAGTGTCCAGTTATCTAGGTATAGTATTGTAGGCTAAGTTAAATACAATTAAACCATAATCAAGTTTAGACCTGACCATTGACCTGTACAAAAAATGATTGGGGTAAAGTTATATTTAGTGAGGAAAGTAAATTTGATGTATTCGTAGGAAATTATCGTAAACGCGTAATTCGAGACAAAACAGAAACCTTTAATAAATACCTAAATAAACAGTTAAGTTCCCACAAGGCATTATGGTTTGGGGATGTATGTCAGCTAAAGGATAGGACACTTTAAAATTTATTGAAGGAACTGTAAATGCAGAAAAATATAAAAATATTCTTGTAGATCCGTTGTTCCCAAGTGCTGCAAAATTATATCCGGATGGAAATTACATATTCCAACAGGATGGTGCATTAAGTCACACCGCAAAAACAACAACAAAACAATGGTTTGGAGAAAATTATGTTAAAGTTTTATCACATCCCTCGAGCAGTTCGGATCTAATCGCTAGAAACTCTTTGGCACAAAATGAAACAAAATTTAAGAAACAATCCTCAGCGAAATCTACATCGACTGCTGGCAAGAAATTGAAATAGTTTCAAATCAGAATGCCGCGATCTAATTTGTCAGAAGTGGGAATGCGTTGTAGTCTCATACTTTGATTACTATACGGTGCAAGAGAGAGGTCCGACACGCCCAACATAGGGCGCAGCCATTTTGATGCCTTTACCACAGTTTATAGCTGAAGAATCAGTTCGCTCACTCTGCGTCGGCACTTTTGATCTCAATGTTCCAGTTTATACACTGCGCAACTCGGATAATACAATATATGACGACCGCCTATAATAAAACAGCAGTCTTCTGCGCATCCAGAATTTGTATCCCTGAAGTGGATGTTATTTTGGAACTTTCAACTGGTCCGAGTGAGCTAACTGATTCTTTAGCAATAAACTGTGACTCCAAAAATAATATTCACTGACACTGACAGCAGCAAGCAAAATATTAAAAATATTGCGCCAAGATGTAGGTAACACGTAATAAGGCATCAAAATGGCGAAGTTTTCTATCTCCTTTTAAAAGGCACTCAGAAAGCTGCGCAGTGCGGCCATTCTCCGTATAGTAAGAGAAAATCAAAGTATGTGGCTGTAGTCGATTTTTGATTTTCGTCCCCTACCAAAACATTGTAAGATTATCAAATTAGTATTATACCTCCATGATGTTAAACGGTACCCTTTACTAATATAAGTTTCATTTGTTTATCTGAGGGTTTTATTTTGTGCTTATTGTTTATGAACGACAACTAAATATTTGCTTATTAATTTGAGGTTCTCTGTAATAGGAAAAAAGTAAAAATCAAAATAGATGCAAAAATCAACGTTTATCTGAATTTTAAATAAACAGATATATAGAACTATGTTGTAGAGGTTGAGGGTAGCGATTATGACTACTAAAAATAAAATTATATAGTTTAACGTTTTATAACATCATATTTAATGAATAAATCATAGTTAAATAGTACTCACTGTTTGTTTTCAGGCATGCTGGAGGACGAGTCCTAAGAACTTTCCCCCAATTATTGTTGTGAGGCTCTGTAACTCTTAGCACTGCTAAATTCATGTCATAACTTTTTAAAAATCATCGCGCGATCTGACGTTTGACAGAAAAGTTACCGCAGAAACGAAATCTCAGATACCCGTCGCCTTAAAGTCGCGCTTAAATAAAAAATATATACTGGGTGCGCATGCGAAAAGTTCGAAAACAAATTACTACAAAAATCAGTTTTTTAAGCGATGTTGCCAATGTTATTTGGTTTACCTACAGTAACACAGAGGCGGATCCAGAACCTAGCTAATGGGAGGGGCAATTTGCTGAATTAAAAGCATAGACTGATTTTTTTTCATTAGATTTCAAGGATAAGAGATATCAACTACCAGGATTATTATTCTCAGGGGAGCGGGCAATTCCCCCTTTGCCCCCCCCCCCCCCCCTCGGATCCGCCAGTGAGTAATAATGTGACTTAACATAAAATTATTTTTCACTAAATTATTAAAACAAATAAAATAATTCATGTCTTCAAGAAAATTGTCCAAAAAAATATTAATAATTAATGACAGATCAGTTACAATATCAAAGAGATTTTCTAAAATGTTTGAATATGCATTTCCCAAAAGATTTTTTCTTTTAAAATAAGTATCAAATTCCCAGTAGTGATCAAAATGGATTTAGATCTTCCATGTCTATTATTACTGTTTTGTTTTACTTTTATAAAAACATTGTCAATTGTATTGATAGCAGTGAATGCCAACTCAGCAAGGCATTTGACTGTACTAACGATATTTTATATTTTTGATTAGAAAAAATCAGGGTAAGAGACATGTTTTATTCTTGGATAGCAAATCCTGATGTGTATTCATAAAATCCACCAACAAAGATCAATATCAAAATTTTGATTCAAATGAGTGTACCACATGGATCAATTCTAGATCCGATGCTATTCGTCCTATATGTGAGCTATATTGAATCTATTATGGAAAACAATTTTTTTATAGTTGATGACCGATGACTTTTCTATAATTTTTTCTGATAAATCTACTGAAATTTTTGAAACAAAATATGTACATTTTCTAATTGTACATTCTTCTTTAGTTCTTTAGTTCTAATTGTGTATTTTTTAATCATACATTCCTTAATTATACATTCTTTAATTGTATATTATTTACTTGTACATTCTTTAATTATACATTTTTTAATTGTACATTCTTTAAAGCAGTTGCTTATTTTTTAATAAAGAAAATCCAGATATTCTTAGACTACACAGCAAATTTTTTTTAGTTCTGTTTTGGATAAAATCCGAATAAAATGCAATCAAAGCTTTTACGAGTTATTGTTCGCTGGAATTATTATGTAAAACAAAATTTAAAATACCATTTGTTGTTTACGAGTTTTTATATATCAACATTTCCATAAAAAATGTACGTGTCAATTCGTGTTATTTTTTACATTACTTATGCAATTTTTGTGCACGAAGAAATGCTAAATATTTTCAATTAAAAAACAAATGCATTCTTTTCTCGTTATTAATAGTATTGAACATTTTCAGCAATCATTATAGCACCAGAAAGATATTATTACTTATTTAAATTCAATATATCTATACAATATTGAATTAAAAATATTAGTGTTCCAATAACATCATTTTTCTCAGTATGAAGTACGTTTTGCTGTCACCAAAAAAATGAAATTTCGAGTTACTTTAAATCCTACATTTGCATTTTACATTGACACAATTATTTCAGGATTTGTTATACACTACCGTCAATTATTTTCAATCATTACACATTTGCTTTTTCCATTTGTTTATTACTTTTTTTCAAAAACAATTATTAATAATTGGAAAAAATGAGAATAAAAAAAATCTATTTGCAATAAATAAAATACATATTTATTATTCAATAAAATAAAAGACATTTTTAACAGTTTCTATACTTTTTGGTGAAACGTAATGTTTTTTCCAAAATATAGAATAATTTCTTAGTATTTATGGAAATGTTTAAATATATTTCATCCAAAATTTGTTAAAAAAAAGTGGAGAAACTATTTTGAACAAATTTTATATAAAAAAACTAACAAACTTCTGAAGTTACTTTGTTTGAAATACCATGATAAATAACAATAATAAAATACTCTCATCCAAAAATGTTCAATAAATTCTTACACCAAACTTTTAAACAAAACAAACTTTATTCCAATATCTCAATTAATAACGAATATAAGAGGGGATCAAACTTTTAGTGGTCCACCCTGTACACCACGGGATCAAAGTGCCTTTTTAATCCCTTGTTATTAAATAACTAGATTATTTTTTAAATTAGAGAGATAATTCGAAAACCTTGACCGTATTTAGTTAATCTGTCTTTACAATTATGTCCTTAAGCCGCCTCTGTCCTCGCTGAAACCTTTTAATCGAAGTCATTGTATTTAATAGGATTTTATGGGATTATCAGATATGGTACACTTGTTCTTCATCACCGAATAATAAAAGAAGCTAATTAAATGCAAACAATTGACTAAAACTAATTTTATAAAATATTTTCTCTTGTCCAAACTAACAGAACTTTAGTAGTTTATAATAGCGAAGGGATAGAAGTTGATATACAGGGTGTTGCAAAAAACATAGCAAAAATTATATAATTCTAAAAAAGGATTTACATAATATCTCTTAGTGTATTGGAAGAAAAAAAACGAGGTGGCCGAAATTCCGCTGCTGTTATTAAGAGAGATAAAAACCTACGCGACGCCAATATAAAACACATTCGCAGATTTCCTAAAGTAGAATCACACTACTGCAGGTCCAGTTCTACAAAGGAATATCTGCACCCAGACTTGACATTATCGAAAATGTATGATATGTATTTCGATCGTTTAATTTATCGTTTCGCAAAGCAAAGAAAGACCAGTGCTCTTTGTGTCTTAGTTACAGGACAGGAGATGATAGTGTAAAAAAAAACTTAAGAGCTCGATTTGAGAAGCACGTTGCCGAAAAAGAAAATATAAGAGAAATAAAACAAAATATTTAAACAGAAGCTTTAAGTAACACTCAGATTTTATGTGCTAGTTTTGACTTGACTTGATTTGAGTGATTTATTTGCCTCAGTCAAAAGTAAACACTATTTTTTACAAGAATCGATTAGCTAACTATAATCTTACAGTGTACAATATTGCATCAAAGAAATGTTTTGCTATCTCTGGAATGAAGTACAAAGCAAACGAGGTGCTGCTCAAATAAGTTCCTGTCTACGACTCTGAAAATGGGGTCCAATTGGTTGCTCTTTTCAGATGGTTGCAGCGGTCAAAATAAAAATTCAATTACAGCAACCATGCTTCTGTGTACGGTGGCAAACTCTAAAAACATAGAGGAGATATCGCTTAGATTTTTTGAGTCATTCCATGGGCAGAATGAGGAAGATTCTGCACATAGTGCAATTTCAACTGCACTAACAACCGCAGGTGATATTTTTGTACCATCACAGCTTCACCCCATTATACGTCTTGCCCGAAGAAAACAACCATACAAAGTAATACCTCTAGAGTATCATGACTTTATAGATTTCAAGAAACTATCCAGAGATCAACGAATATTGTCAGTAAGAACATCGGATTATGGAAATTCCATAAAATGGACAGATATTATGGAATTAAAGGTAAAGAAATCCGATCCATTCAAAATATTTTTCAAAAATAGTCACCTTCAAGAAGACTTCGATTCTCTTACACTTAAAAGATTACAAACTGATTTATTTGAAGTTAATTTGGAGTTTACGATATAATCGCATTTTAGGGATCAGCTGCATGATTATTATTGAAAACATTTAGAAAACAAATTAAAAAAAAAACTAAGTGATATTATATATTGTGAAGTAATTTTACCGTTTTTAGATTGCAACAGTATTCCACCAATGCAGTTTTATGGTAAATTAAGTCTAAGAGATGCAGAGGCGGCTCTAGCTTATTTGCCCGAGTCTAATATAGAAGAAGAATATGAAACAAATGAATTTCAAACTAATGGTAATGAGTCAGTAAATGAGGAAAAAGAAAGTGAAACTGATATTGTAGAATCTGAACATGAAATTAATGATGTAGATTCTGAACATGAAATTGAGAGTGAAAAAAATAAAACAATATCAATTCACAAACTACCGACTACGTCGATTGCGGGAAAAAAGAAACCAAAGGCAGTTGAGAACCTAATGTGGAAGAAAGCTCAATATTCACGGCCAAATATAGTTTTTTCTCCACCAAACCACAGTGACTGCAATTCACAGGGTGAAAATTTGAGTCCATTGATATATTTTTCTAGATACTTTCCCAGCGAAATATATAAAGATTTGGCAAAAAAAAACAAATATGTATTCCGTTCATAAGTCGGGCAGAAGTATCAATACACACGAACAAGAGGTTCGCAAGCTCGTAGCACTTCATATTGTCATGGGTGTAATCCGCTTTCCTAGATTACGGATGTATTGAGCACCTTCCACAAAAATTAAATTTTTTGACGATATTCAAATGTCACGCAACAGATTTGAAGCCTTGCGAAACCACTTACATATTGTAGACCTCAACCAAGAACATAATGCTAGTGAGAAACTTTGGAAGGTGCGACCAATAATAAATTCTTTTGAAAACCGATGTGAATTATTAGACCTGGAGCAAAGCCTTTGTATATATAAGGAATATATAAAAGGAAAGCCCAATCCATGGGGAATAACAAATTTTATGCTTTGCGGTGAATCTGGTATTATATACCGCTCAATAGTTTACCAAGGATCTACAACTATTCCTACTAATTTGCAAGATAAGTTTACTCCAACTAATGGACTCGTAATTCATTTATCAAATCGAATTCCCTAGCATCAAGAGTACAAATTATTTTGTGACAATTATTTTACTTTTGTTAAAGGAGTTTATGGCAGGGACAATTCGAGCAAATCGACTTCAAAAGTGTCCATTGAAATCGGAGAATGAAATGAAGAAACTTGGTCGTGAAATATGTGATTCGTATATTTCCGCAGATGAAAAAATAGAAGCAGTACGTTGGTATGATAATAAATCAGTGAGCATGGCATCCAATTTTGTGGGTATTGAACCAGAAGATGAAGTGCAGAGATGGGATAGAAAGCAAAACATCCACATTATAGTAAAACGTCCGGCAATTATAAAAGAGTACAATACATCCATGGGAGGCGTTGATAAAAGCGATTTTTTACTTGCACTGTACCGAACTTTTATTCGATCAATAAAGTGGACATTGCGAGTAATTTTCCATTACTTCAATTTAGCAGTATGCAATGCTTGGCTAGAATATCAACGTGATCAAGAAAGGCAAGGTATGGCAAAAAAGTATAGACCAGACTTACTACATTTTACTATGTCAATAGCCGAAGGATTTGCATTTTCTGGTTACAATACAACCACACCAAAGCGAGGACGTCCTAGCCCCAGGAATTCACCTGTGACAGTAAAACGTCATAAAACGCACACAATCCCTAATATGGACATAAGATGTGACAACATTGGTCACTGGCCAGTACATGCAATTGGTCATGAGCAACGCTGCAAGTTGGAGACATGTGGGGGACGTTCAAGAATTAACTGTGAAAAATGTCAAGTACCGCATTGCTTATCAAAATTTAAAAATTGTTTTAAAAACTTCCATTCCAAATAATTACTTTTTAAATAAAATATAATATGACATACTTAATAAAATAAGTTCAGTTAATTTTAATGTGCAATAATTTAAATACAATTTTTAGTTTACTCTAATTTCTTATACCATTGAGACCTGGTGGTGGCATTTGCCACGACTTCCTAACTTCTAAACCCAAGGTGTGATTTGGTTGAAATTTGGTGAGTAGGTTATGAGTCCAGATAAATAATTTATAGATAAAAAAAATTATTTAGTGTTTAAAAAAGTCAGGGCTGAAAGGGTTATTTTTTTTTAATTTGTTTCCTAAATGTTTTCAATAATTCATGAAACTGACCCCTAAAATGCGATTATATCGTAAACCGTTAAGTTTTAAGGTTAATAACAAGTAAACTTTTCTTCTATTAAAATAACGTGGCTTTAATATTCTTTTACAAATATACCGCTAACTTAAACAGCAAAAAAAGTTAGGGCACATTTATGCCACGAATGTAGCCTATGTAGCGCCCTTTACAAATTACATCGAAATAGGTAGGTACTAGATTATGATTTTTCGTGCCCAAAAACCTCTATTTCCAAATTTTTATGTATACATATCCAAAAACGTTAAAGTTATTGCAAAAAAGAAATCTTAAAATTTAACCTTTAACGCCCTGTATATTCCTTATTAGCAACATTTTATTGAAGAAAGTTGGTTTAAATCGTTATATTTTAAAGTGAGAAATCTACCATACTTCTATGTATAATTACTTAAGGACCACCCTGTACATAAAAACTAGAGAGTTACATTTGCTTTCTGGTGCTTCTCAAAATTAAAAGTTTTTGAGCCGTATCATGTATTCCCTATTTTGTTTGAAACACTTTGTATATATACATTTTTTATTTTGATTTTCCTCAATACTTTCTTTCTTATTATGATTATGGATTTGTGCCAATGAAACTGTTACAACGTGGATAATAAAATTCATTACTTATATTATATTATGATAATTTAAACTTACGTGGCTGCCTTTAGCAACGCTATCGCTCACCTGGAACAAGAAAACATTCTATTTAGATCAAAGAAAAAACTAATTTTATTTATTTATTTAATACGTTGTTCAACAGAAAACATATTTATTAAAAAACATGAAATAAAAAAGTATTCAAGGCCTATTTACCAGATATACTCTTTAGGAACTTCCCAAAACCTACGAAAAACACGAATAAATTACCAATTTATCAATAAATACATTTCAGAAGAATTTTCGATGATTAAAAAAAACTATTTAATCGAATAAGTATGTTTAATGGAATTTAAATGCCTCAATATTGTAAATAATATTAGTATCAAAACTTATCATACATACATAAGTATTTGTAATTAAAATTTTACTAGGAATCATTATTATTAATGCACGACATTTTTTTATAAGCATAATAATTCGTTTAGCAATAATTATTAGAGCAATAACAATTATTGTCATGCTTTCCGATTCATATTTTTTTAATTATTTACATACAGGGTGGGACGAAATGGGAGAAACACCAGATATCTGAACAGATTGATTTTTTAGATATGATGTCATCCAAGTACCAATTAAAGAATAGTAGTTATCGCAACAAGTGCTAGAAGATGCACTTTTAAGCAGGTGAGTGCGTAAAAGTGCTTCTAGCACGTGTTACGATCAACATTTTTTCTACAAGCGCATTTATTTCTAAAATAGAGAATTAACCTGTATAATGACATTAGGTACAACATACAGTTTAAGTATACATATATTAAACCGATGTTATGTGCTGAATTGGTGTAGTGGTTAGCATGGGCGTCGTTACACAATTCTATAGGGGGGGGGGGGGGGGGGCAAAATTTTTAAAAAATTAGAATGTTTATTAGTTGAAAAACAGAGAAATTTAAAACTAAAAGAGCAATACAAATTAAGAAAAGTTTTTAATAAATAAACTAACCCAACAAAAAAGACAAAAACTAAAATAAAAAAAACAAGAAACTTAAAACACATATTTCTAAAAAACAAATAGAAGGTGTGAGATAAAAGAAAAATATGAACAAGGAGACAGAGCCATACATAATATATAAAAAAAATAAAATATTTATAGAAACACAAAAACAAAAAAAACTCACTCAAACCCGTCGACGCTAGTGTTCGTCAATTTTTAATTTCTTCTTTCTCTACCTAAAATAATCGATAACAGAAAACATGATTTCTTTTTAGTTTTTTGCGATTATTTTTGGATATACGTTCATCATGCAAAGCCAGGCAGCCTATTTTCATTCATTATTCGCTCTGTGCGTGACAGCAGCGCCAACTAATTTATGAACTAACGGACGATATTTGCGTATACTGACAGTACAATTTTCAATGGAATTAAAAAATATATATGTTGATTTAAATAAAAGTATATAGATTTGTAAAACAAGTGAAAAAATTAATTATTATATATTTTTATTAGATACTTCAGCTAAAATAAAAGTAGTATAATCAATAATAAAACATAGGCAGGCTACGGTGGTGTAGGCTTCTACGGCGCGACACTCATTTGTCAGCCAATTTTCTGGTAAAACGAGACACGGTTTCAGATCATACGGAAGACCATGTGAATTTATTTGCATGGTTCTCTATAGGATTTGATGGATGCCATATTAGCAGAAATTTAATTTCTGTTGATATGACATCCAGATTATTGAAAATAAAAAATCACCATGCGTTACCGTTTTCGATGATGGTAGGTGGGGTTTTCCGGGTTTTCCTCACCTGTAAGTCAAATGTCACCATTAATCATCTTTAAGTCGTCCCGGAGCGCCACGGCAAATAATAATAATATCCGTCCCTTTCCCCGCACAAGCTCAGCTTTTGGAGTTAAAATTCACTCATAAGGGGGTGAATTAGGGAGAGAATTATTATTATTATTATAAGATTATATATTTACGAGAAAATGTATATGTTGCCTAAGCCTAATAAGTTAACATTGAAGGAAAGGTTAAATAATGTGAAAACAAAAATATTACCATTATATAATAACGTAGTCTCAAAACGTATTAACAAAAATAATTGGTAAATTTGCATTTGTAATTCATATTTTCTTTATTTTTAGTTCGAAAGAACCCATAGAAATTAATGAATAAAATTGGTTTCCTATCAATAAGTCACAAGATTGCATTTCAGCCACATACAATAATCAAAGGCAGAAATCTAATCCTTGCTCAACATTTAAGAGTTAAGGGATGTTGAACAACATTGTAAAATAATAATTTCTTGTTTATTTAAAACCTTTCAATTTTCTGATGTCTACTATTTCCAGTATTACTGTTATTATTACAAAAATAAAGGTTTTTTTTCTACTTATTGTACAGCTATCCATTTATTTCTTTGATTTAATTTCCATTTTGCTACCAAAAATTTATATAATTTACACTGTTTTTTACAATTTACAACACAGCAACTGTTATTGCTTTATCGCCTTGGACAAATTTCGCTTGTGTTTGATTTTGTAGGTTTTTTCGTGGTTTTTAGTAGCATTGCTGCATTTAGTTAT